AGCGGGAGCCGTTGTTGTAACCCGGGGGGGAACGACACAATTTGACCCTCAAGACTCTCTCTTGTAAAAAGCAGGGTGCGAGCCCCGGGAAGGGCACTTCAATCGAGAAAAAACAATGTGCACCGGACGGGGGCATCAACAATAATTATTCTTCCGAAATGAGAGTTCCACAATAACAACAAAAGCAACAGCAACAGCAACAACAACAGCATGAGCAACAACAACACCAAACACAACAACACCAACAACAACATCAGCAGCAACAACACACAGCAGCAACAGCAACAGCAACAACAACAGCAGCAGCAGCAACAACAGCAACAGCACACAACAGCAACAACAACAACGACATCATCAATAACAACAACAATAACAACAACATCAACAACATTTACAACAACGCAACAAGCAAACTTCCCACTACGAATTCCTGGTTCAACCACGCGCCACGGGACAGAGAATCACCGCTCGGCCCCCTCACTCTGACGTGCAAGCCCCTGCCGGCCCCGCGGGGCCTACCCCCGCCTGGGGTGGGCGGGCTGGCCGAGCCGAGATACCGAGGCCCAGTGGGGATCGGGGTCGGATCGGATCGACGATGCTGAGGCCCGGCTCCCCTCCTCCTCCTCCTCCTCCTCCTCCTCCTCCTCCTCCTCCTCCTCCTCCTCCTCCTCGGGGTCGGAACGGACATGTGGTGGGGACGGCGCCTGCTCGCCCGCGCCGACGCCCGTGCGCTCTGCCGCGAGCCGCCGCGCTGCCGCGAAGCGGAGCTGCCTGGACTGCAGCAGGTTGGCCTCGCCGACGTCGCCGTCGCCGTCGCCATCCTCGCCACCCTCCTCCTGCTCCTCCTCCCCCCCTCCCTCCAGCTGCCTTGTCCCGGCGTAGATCCGTGAGGGATCGTTGCCTCTACCCCCTCCTCCGCCTCCTCCTCCTACTCCTCCTCCTCCTCCTGTTCTTTGTCAGGCCCAATTCGAAACAAATCTACGGACTGGGTTTTGCGCCGCGCGTCGGCCATCCCATCGTCTGCCCACCTCGCCCCAAACCAGCGTGGAACCCGCGAGGCGCCAAGCGGCGCTGGCCTTTGGCCAGCGGGGCCAGGCACGTCGCGGGAACGGGCAGACGCGCGAGTGTACTTCCAGCCTTGTTGGCGACCCCGGAGGGCCCGATCGGGCAGGGAACACCGGGCCAATCTTTATACGAATGCTTCGTGTGACTATTGCGACTTCTCAGGGTACGAACTATTCCTGGCCCCCACGGGGCGCGTTCCTTCGACCCCCGTCGCGTTTTTGAGGGGTCCAAACTTTTCGGGGCGTGGTGGTGGATCGGGCGCCCGCGCCCCTGGCGGCTGTCGCGAACGCTCGGGGCCCATCATTCGGGAGGTGGCGAGAGAAATGTCCATTCCGCCTACACCCTGCGAAATGCTTAAGAAATCATGGGTTAAGAAATTCATAGTCTCAGAAATTGAATGTAACCCAGAACTTCTATCAACATCTTGGGATTTACATTGAAAAATTAAGAATAATCGAGACTCTGGACGAAAACTTAGGTTTTCTTAAGCATCGCCTAAGGTGTACGGACTCGCAGGACACTTCTTCCCCGAGGGGGCCATCGACGGCGCGGACCCGCCAGCGGGGCCGCTGGCTCCGAGGCGAGACCTCCACCAACATTGGCATTGGAGGGCCCCGAGGGGGGGGGGACCACGCTGTGCAAAAAACTCTGCTCAAATTCCACCCTGCTTTTCCTCTCCTCCTCTGTCGTCGTCATCGTCGTCGTCGTCGTCCTCCCCCTCCTCCTCCTCCTGCTTCGCTCTCCTCCTCTCCTTTCTCCTTCTCACTCCTCCTTCTTCTTCCCTTCCTTCCTCCCTCCTCCTCCTCCTCCCTCCCCCTCCTCCCTCCTTCGCCTCCTCCTCCTCCTCCTCCTCCCTCATCCCCCGTCCTCCGAATGTGGGCGAAAACGACCGACGATTCGACGACGACGCTTCCCGTGGGCCTGCTGCGCCATCTCGTGGTAGGCATCCGCCTCCTCCTGAACGGCAACCGCCAGATGGGGGCGCCGCGGCCCGGAGGCCAGAGCTGGCAAGACGACCCTCGGGCAGACAACCTCCCACCTCCTCCCCCCTCCCTCCCACTCCCCCCCCCCGTCGCCTCCAAGCCCGAGGCCGCGGCTGCCGTCCTCGTGGTCGCCGCCAGGCGACGAAGACGACGACGACGACGCCACCGCAGCCGCAGTCGCCCGCCGCCGCTCCCGCCGCCGCTCTCGCCGCCGCCGCCCTTGCCAAGGCCGCCGCCGCCGTCGTCGCCGCCCCGCAGGCTGACGTCCTGCAGCGTCCTCGGCGCCGAACGGCGCTTCTCGCGCTGGCGTCTCGTGGGGCTCCTGGGGGCCTCGGCGCCCGCCTGGGCCGCCGAGCGGGTCGGCAGAGCTCTCTCAGATGTGCACGTGTTCATGCATCTCCAAGCGGATCAACCGACTGGGCAGCTCCGCCCTGTTCCCCTCCCCTTCCCTCCTCTCCCTCCCCCTCCCTCCCTCTTTTTTCCCCTCCCCCCTCTTCCCTCATCCCCCTCCCTCCCTCATTCCCCCCCTCCCTCTTCCGCCTCTCCCTCCTCCTCCTCCTCCTCCTCCTATTTCTCGTCGCCACCACCACAATCATTCCTCCTCTTGCTCCTCCCCCCTCCTCCTCGTCGTCACAACCACCATCATCATCACCATCATCACCATCATCTCCATCGCAATCACCACCATCACCACCACCACCATCAGAAACACCACCACCATCGTCATCACTTTCACCATCACCACCATCACCACCATGATCACCCTCACCATCACCATAACCATCACATTTACCATCATCATCACCACCACCATCACCATCACCATCACCATCACCATCGACACTGCCGTCATCGCAAGTATCATCAGCATCATCATCACCAGCATCATCATCATCATCATCATCATCAGCATCGCAAGTGTCATCAGCATCACCATAATACTTACCATCACCATCACCATCATCATTCACCACCATCACCACCATCATCATCACCATCGTCAAACTCGTCGTCATCATCCCAATCACCATCACCACCACCACCATCATCAACAACATCACCATCATCATCAACAACATCAACATCAACACCAACATCGGTCATCATCATGCGCATCATCATCATCATCATCATCATCATCACCACCATGACCACCCCGTCAACGTCCCATATTGGCCAGGCGTCGGGCATCAGTGGGGCGTGGGGAGGAGGCGTCAATGTCGTCGTCGCCCGCGTCGCCGTCCTCCTGACTTTCGTCCTCCTTGCCCTCGTATTTCCTGCTGATGTTGGCGCTGGCAAAGGTATGCGTTGATGTTCACGCCGTCGGGTAGGGCGCCGTGCACGGCGCCGTGTAGGGCGTCCAGTAAGGCGTCGGGCTCCTGGTGGTTCTCTCCCTGGTCAGCGTCGGCGTTGTCGTAGTGTATGGCGGAGGCGCCGTCGTGGTGGTCATCGCCGCCGTCGTCGCTTTCAAAATCTGGTGAATTTTCGGGGAGGGCGTCGGGGAGGAAAAGCGCGTCGGGATGGCAACATCGCACTGGGCGCAAGGCTAGGGGTGAGGCTGGGCGGAAGGGTTTCGGAACAAACCGGGCATGGGTCAGGGCGTGGAGCTGGGCGTTCGGGAAGCAGGGGGCTGAGCGTCAGGCGAGGCGAAGGGCTGGTCAATGTCGTCCTCGTCGTCGTCGTCGTCGTCGCTCCCCTCACCGTACGCCTTGGCATCGCCCTGCCTTTTGATGCTGTTGTCGGCGCAATCGTGGAGAAGGGCTTCGGGTTGGGAAAGGGCGAGGGGAAGGGGACGGAGAGGGTCGTCGTCGTCGACCTCCGTCTTCTTCTCATCGTCTGCCTCTTTCATATCCTTCTGAACCTTCACCTAGGCGGTGTTGGCGACGAAACTGGTGTCGAAACTGGCGTCGGCGTAGGAGCCGGCGAGCTGGTGCTGGTGTCGAAATCAGCGTCGGCGTGGGAGCCGGCGAAGCAGTTTGTAAAATCCGCGTTGAAGTGGCCGTGAATGTTGATGTGCCCTCCTCCTCCTCCTCCTCCTCCTCCCTGCCCCTCTCGGAAGAGAAAAAGGCAGTGACATCGGGGATATCTCACGGCCCCCGCCCACGTTCTCCACCCAGCCCTGGTCGTCATCGTCACTCCTCCTCACCTCGACGCCCCCGATCCTCTTCCCCCTCCCCAGATCTCCGGCGCCGTTTTTGTTCTGTCTCTCAACAATGCGGTCCCCCGGAGGTCTAGCCCTCTTTCCCGCTCCTGAATCGGTCGTTTGATGCTCCTGGGGCCCGGTGAGGGCCCCCGCAAGCCCAAAGTTTGAAAAACCTCCCGCCGTGAGTCTTTCGCAGCGAAGGCGAGTTGGGAGTCCCCCTCTCCCTGGGCTCCGCGGGGCCCGACGCCCCCCCGGGCGGGCACCCTCTGCGCCTGCTTCGCCTCATCGGTCGCCGCCTCCGCCTCTGCGCAAGGCTGGGCGGGGCTGCCGGCGGCGGCCGCGCGGAGAGGACGTCGTCGACGACGAGCCGGTGCCGGCGGTGACGACGTCGCGAGTCGGCAACGACAAGGTCGCTGCCTTCGCGAGCACGTCTGCCCACTTTCTTCGAGTCGCAGGGAGAACGTCGTTGCTGAAGGGTCGACGATGGGGACGACGTCGCGGGTCGGCGACGAGGACGCCGCCGTCGCATGATGTGGAGAATCTGCAGCGTCGACAACGACACCTTCGACGACTAGGCTGGCGGGGGCGCGCCTCAGGGACGGCGGCGAAGAGGCTCCGCATGCGGGCCCGGCCTCGGAAAGGCGCGCGCGGGGATGCAGGTGGCCCTGTCCGGGAGCGGGCCAACCGGCTGCGCTCCGCCTGGCAGGGCGGGCGCCTTTGGGCCCAAGCCGGGCACAACAGGCAACGTTCAGCATGGATCAAAATGCTGGAAATGTTTCGCCGTCCTCGGAGAAGGCCCTGAAGGTCATGTGGGCCCAAGGCCTGGGAGAAAAGAAGCCTGCAAGTGTTTCGCCGTTTTCGGGCCCTCCACGGGCACCAGGAACGTCAGAAAACGGCTCGGGGCGAAGAGCTGGTCCTGGGGAAAGCCCGAGGGTCTAGGACCTGTTTTCCTCATGACCCCTGTCCTTCCATCATGGCCACTTTGGGCCGAACGCCCAGCGCAGAATTGAAAAGCTACACCTTGTCCGGCGAGTGAACCAGAAATCGAATCCAAGCATTTACATGAGGAAAAGTAAGGTGACATGTTGTGCCAGCCAAGCGGGGTAAGAGGTGGAGCATGAGGAAGGGAGGCAGAAACGATATGCGAGAGGACGGGCGCAACCTGGCCATGAAGGGCCGAGCGCTGGAATAGACGAGCGGCCACATGTTCATCCGCCTCTCGCCCAGGCCGGCCGCGTCATGTGTACCGAGCTTCCTGGTACATACCCCCTTGGCCTCGGCCAGGTCTACACACCACCCTGGGGCCCTGGATGGCTCTGGCGGAGGATGGTGGTGGCGTTAACCTTCTGCGGACCTTCGCGCAAATCCCTCTTCCTCTACAATACCTACCATCCCGCCCTCATTACTGCAACACCGTTTTTGCTCAGGAGTCGAGGAGGCGAGCGCGACCGCATCACCAGACAACATGCCATTCGTCCGAGCGCAAAATAGAAAAGACACCAGGCAAACTTGAGAACAACACGCACCGCCCTGCATTGGATAAGCTCATGCATAGAACCATGACCTGGGGAATACGCACAATTGCGTCGCATGCATATGCCCCGCGATGCCCAATCTGCCAACGATATTACGCTCACGCGGCAAAACGAGAGGGGGCGATGGGAACAGCCGTGCATCCTGGGATGCCGAATAACTGTCTTGCAAGGGCGGATCAGCGATCCCTCGTGTGTGTTTCATGCTGCCAGAAGTTCGCTTCCCGCACAAACTGTTGAATTACAATGCTACTCACTGTAGGCATTTTGCCCTCGAAGGCTAAAACGGGGAGGTCAGACCAGAATTAGTCAAACTTTGTGAGGGCATTGCCACGCTGAGGAACATCGTCTCGTCTTCTACAAGTCCCACCCCTCCTCCTCCATCCCCCTCTCCCTCCTCCTTCTTTTCCTCGCATGCCCGTCTGCTGAAGTTGCCAACATCGAACCTCCATGGCAACAAGGGCGAAAACAACGGCTCACCCCGACCCGTGCGCGGGTTCCCGCCCTGCCCCCTCCCTGCCGGCCTGGCGCGGGTGCCTCACTCACAGCGTCCGGCGGGCGCCCATGCGGAGGCCGCGGATGGGTGGGCGGGAGGCACTCGGGGAGCAGGAACGGGAAAAGGAGCTGAGATGACTTGGGCGCTACACGCAGCGTCGCCACGACTGGTGCTCTGGCATTCCGTTCTTGCAACATAGAGAAAGGGTTAGCTGGAGGGAAAAGGCTCGGAATACTGGACCGACGCGTGCAGAGGATAAGTTCATAGTGAACCCTATATATGTACCAACGGTGCTGCAAAAAACCTTCCCGTCCCAAGTCCCGTCGTCAGGAGTCCCTACAAGCCTCTCCTCTCACTACAAAGAGACCCCATTTTGAACAACGAGCACCCTATGTGCCTGCCTTTGCGGCGAGGGTCTCCTTTTTGAAAAGGAGCTGCCTTCATCCTTCTAGCGAGGTACGGTATCAACAATACGAAGCGCTACTCATGCATGTTCACGAGCCCTTGTTGTCCGAACATACCCCACCTGGCGCAACGAACGAGCACGTCTACAATCACTGGAAAATGTCAAAAGGTCTGAAGCGAAAATCCTACTTTGAAAAAACAACTCCCTCCATCCGTGCGGTTGTTAGTTACATATGATCAGCGCGTTCGCCGTCAACTACAGGTGCGCCTCACGTTTTGAGATGGAGCAGCCCTCCATCCTTTGTGTTGCAAGCGTGTACGCGGCGCGTAGGCGCAAGTCCTATTTTGAAAAGGAAGAAAACACGCTCCATCTTTTGACGGTTGCAAGCTTTAAAACAAATGCGCGCGGAAGTCCGACGATAGCGCAATTGTGATCAGGAGTCGTCCTCGATGCATGATTTCACAAAAACTATACGCGGCACTCAGGCAAACGCTCCGCTTTGAAACATAAGCCCTCCATTCGAGTGCAAGCCGCGATTCTCACGCTTCCAGATGATGAGCGGCGCGGACGTCTCAGGCGAAACGCCCAGGCCGCCCAATCGGCGCTCCTGGGTATCCGACGGGGAGGAATTACATATGAGGAAAAAGGGACTGGAGGAACGGGGGAGAGGAGGAGGAGGAGGGGGACATGATGTGTGGCGTGTGGGAATATGCTGGGATATGCGCGGAACCCTCCCATGTGGGTCTCGAGGCTTCGCTGCAGCGCTTGCCCTGTGTGGTATCGCAGCGCCAACGCCATGGTCGATGCGAAGGCCCGCGATCAAAGGACAAACAAGAGGAATACGACGCGAGGATGGGGGAGGGAGGAGAAAGGAGGGATGAGGGAGGAGGAAGAGGAGGAGGAGGAGGAGGAGGAGGAGGACAAGAAGGAGGAGGAGGAGGAAGAGGAGGAGGATTTTTGTTCACAGCAAGCGCGCACACCTTCTTGTTCCTTACATCCAGAAGTGGGGTTCTTGTTTTCTCTGGAAACCCTCCGCGCACGAACCGCACCTCCCTCCCACTCTCCACTTCACTCACGCATTCACCCCGTCATCGGTCATCATCACCTCGGTCGTCATCATCACCACCACCATCATCACACCCACCCACTCACCATCGATCACCATCACCATCGGCCATCGATCATCATCATCACCACCACCACCGCCATCAACATCATACTCAGTCGCACCTCCCACACACATACACTACCTCTCTCTCTCTCTGTCTCTATCTCTCTCTCTCTCTCATCACTCAGCATCTTGTTCTGGACGCCCCACGCAGGAACTCCTCAGGCCTGAACGCGCGGGAAGTATCAGGCGGGAGCCTCGTCTGTGAATGAATTGTGAGGAAGTCTCAGGCGGGAGCCCCCTCCCTATGGGGCCCGCACTTCATGTCGACAATCCGAGCGGGTCATACTCATCCGTGTAAGTGTCGTCACTTTTGGGCTCGTGGGGCTTGAGCATGGGGGAAGTATCAGGCGGGAGCCTCGTCTCTGAATGAACTGCGAGGAAGTATCAGGCGGGAGCCCCCTCCTTATGGGACCCGCATATCATGTTTCGAGGAAGTCTCAGGCGGGAGCCCCCTCCTCATGGGGCCCGCACCTCATGTTGGTAATCCGAGCGGGTCATCCTCATCCGTGTACCTGTCGTCCCCCCTCCCTATAGGGCCCGCAGCTCATGCTTTTTAATCCAAGGCAGGTCATCGGAATCCTGTAGTCATTTTTGGGCTCCCGTGGCTTGAATATGGGGGAAGTATCTGGCGGGAACCTCGTTTGCGAGTGAATTGCGAGGACGTCTCAAACGGGAATTCTATGGGGCCCGCACCTCCCGTGTTTCCTCCGGGTCGTCATCTGGGACGTCCTCCAGCGCGCGCTGCCCCTGGGTCGTCTTCCGGCGCGTATCTCTTGGGACGCACGTCCTGCGCTTCCTCTGGGTCGTGTCCCGCGCGAGGAGGAGGAGGAGGAGGAGGAGGACGAGGAGGAGGAGGAGGACGAAAGAGGAGGATGCAGGACGAGAAAGAAAAGGAGGAACAGGAAGAGGCAGAGGGCGAGAAGGACGAGGAGGACAAGGAGGAAGAGGAGTGCCTTAGGAGGCCCCAAAATGTCCCGTGAGGCCCAGAAGGCTCCAGGAGGAGGCAGGAGGCCCAATGAGGAGGCGTGAGGAGGAGGGTGAGGAGGGGGAAGATGATGGAGACGAGGAGGAGTGGAGTAGGCGGAGGAGGGAGAGGGAGAGGAGGAGGCGGGAGAGGGGAGGAGGAAGCGGAGGAGGAAGAGGAGGGAAAGGGACAGCAGGAGGAGGAGGACGCAGGAGGCGGGAGGAACAGAGGGGAATGGGGGGAGGGGCCATTACGAGGAGGAGGAGGAACAGGAGGAGGAGGTGGTGGGGGAGGCAAGAGAAGGAGGAGGCAGGGGTTGAGGCAGGAGGAGGAGCAGGCAGGATCAGGCAGGAGAAGGATGAGGCAGGAGTAGGTGGGTAAAAGGAGGGGGCAGGAGGATACCCCCAGGCAAGCTAAACAGATTCCCGTGTGGGGTCCTACCGTCGGAGTATGTTTTTGCCCGTGGTCCATGGTCGTGAGACTCTGCGCAGAGGGCATGCCTGGCCACCCTGCAGAAGCGAGGGAGAAACAGCCGCAGAAGCAGCGCCAGGGGGAGGAAGGAAGATGGCACAGGCTGACGAACGTCAGCGCCGGCTCAAATTTCGCCCTCCGCACGAGGACAACGTGGCACCTCGCGCGCGGGGGCGTCGCCACGGGACCGCCCACCAACGGAGGTGGCGAGAGGCCACGACCGCGGGCATGGGGGTGGACTCGACACAGGGGGAAGACAGAGTCCAGGGTGGACTCGACACAGGGTGGACTCGACACAGGGGGTGCCCCGCAAAGGATGGCGATTGCGCTCGCCACCTCCACCTGCGTCTGGGGCGGGAGACCCACGGAGGGACCCGACTGCGCCACGGACCCAAGCCCCCCTTCCATAGGGGCAGGCATGACACTTCAGTGACAAGCACGGGATGGGTGCGGCGGCGGGGCAGGGGGGGCTGCCGCACTCTCTCGCGCGCGCCGCCGCTCGCCCCCTCGCCTTCCCACGCCGAAACCAAAAGGGCCCAGCCCAACGCCGCCGAGCGGAAGGCAGCGGCAGCGGCGCCGCGGGGCAGCAGCAGAGGGACGCGAAGAACGGGGCGCACAGCAACAGCACCAGCGACGAACAGCAACAGCAGCGGGGTAGCAACACAATAGGCACAAGAGCGAAAACAGAAACGAGGCCCCCGACGCAAACCCCGCAGGCGAGAGAGCATCCAGGATCCCTGTAACAAAATAAGACAACAATGCGCCGATC